AGTTACGGTGCACAGAGAAGGAACGAGAATAGACTGACGCGAAATCGCCAGCAGGACAGTGATACGAAGCGCCGTCTGGCCCCATTTCGATGATTTGAAGTTCTAGATCATCCCACTCCGAATGACGGATGAGGCTAATTGCTACGTCAGCCATGATCCTTCCTTGGATTAAGGAAGGCGACTTGCATGTGCTCCTCAAAACGAACTAGAGAATAAAGGATTGTGACTGGTAGGGGTTTGATGTGCGTGTAAAGGCTGCAGCGTGGGCACTGGTAGCCGTCCTCAACCTGTGTAGATAACTTAGGATGCGCCAAAAAACAGGCCAGGTCCAGATACCCACCTTGTACTTGGCATATGCACGCGCGGCAAGGACCGGGAGGACGTAGTATTCCAGCAGGGCTCGGCGGGCGTCTGCCACAGGGATCTTGAGGATGTCCTCCTCTGAGCGTTCGTCAATGTCATCCCCCGGTGTGTCATCTTCATCGTCTGCGTCGTGCGCCGCTGGTCCTTCCTTATCCTCCTTGGATTTCGCGGCTTTGCGCTGTGTAGCCACAGATGCCAATTCGGGAGTCGGTTCGTTCAGACTGAGACTGTCAAGCCAGGCAAAGAGCCTGTCTTGATCGCCTTGTGCGGCTAGATTCGATCCAGGGCCCTCGTCCTCGATGGCGGAAACAGCCATCTGAGCGATCTGCAAGTTTGTAGCCCACCTCTTGAGGCTCTCGAGGTTTTCAAGGTCAGGGGGGGCACTCGCAGAAGCTGTAGATTTGTGAGATATAACGTGCTTCACTTCAAGAGATTAGAAGACAAACATAGTGCTTTTTTCAAGTGGACTCCGGGATCTGGAGCCGACAATGCCTCGACGATGACGTTGCGATCTGCGGCAAGACCCGTGAGTGGTCGTTGGAGGAGCTGCTTATTTTTCTCATTCTTGACTCCTCTGTCATACTGACGAAGGTAATGCTTTTGCTTTTTGAGAAAAGCGGTTTCGGCTTCGATGAACGATTCCCTAATCTGAGAAATAGATGTGAAGGAAGATTGTGAAGCGAGGGTATGTCAACTTACGGGCTGCGTCTTTTCAGAGTTATAGGGCTGTTTGAATGCAACAGGGGTACCCTTCTCGGCCTTTGGCGGATCGATGTCTCCGGTGGCCAGGCCAAAGAGGCGGTTGGCGTTGAGCGTGCCAATAACGTAGCCGGCAGCTGTCGCATTGTAGCACCGGAGATATGTCTCCCATGTTTCTAGCCGTGCATCCTTGACGTCTTTGAAATCCGGGAGGTCCTGCCAGGCCAACGCAGGGTCAGTTACTGATGGGACAATGCCTAGATCAGCGCACGAGTAAAGATGTCTTGTATGCGACCCGTGCTCGTTTGGCGTCCTCCTTGACCTGGGTCCCCTCCGGCGTCTCTTCTTGTTCGCGCCGAATGAGCGCTTCGACGGCCCAGCTTTTGAAGCCATGGCGTTTGTGATTTTCCTGTATGTAAATCAGTACATACACGATGACGCAAAAGAACTACATACCGTGATTTTCGCCCCAGGAAAACTCTCGAGAGCACCGGCGACCTCCCCAAGACGAATTTGGACAAGGTTGTGATTCTGTAGATTACGCGAGTATGAATTACGGAAAGGTCCGTCGGTCGCGTGGTGAAGGGCGTCCTTGGCGACCCGATGGCCCAGCTGTAATGAATACTGAGAAAGTCTGTTAGTACGACTCAGGATTAGGTTTTCGTGGACACAAACCATGTTTGACGTTTCGCGGCGAAGGGCTGTAACACCTGCCCTTGGGATACCACATTTGTTTCCCCACGCTCTGAGGGACTCGTAGATCGAAGCAGCTGTCGCAGCTACTTCTGGCTCTGCAAATTCACGCCCACCAGGTCCGCCTGCAAGGAAGCTATACAAGGAATAAGTATGATAAAAAGAAACCTTTGAGCAACATACATGGGAGTATCAGCAAAGGCCGGGTCTATCTGCAGCTCTGCAGAGAGATCCGAGGTAAATTCCTCGATCGTCTGCAACAGGTAATTTAGCGAGAGCAGACGACGTTGCCACAAAAGACGTGACAGACCTCATATTTGACTGTGAATCGTTTCAGAAGAAACAGATGCGCGGCGAAGGGGAGGGTGATGTCGAACGGCAAGTTGTGGGTGTAAAGACAACCGGTCATGTTGACTGTCTGTTCCTCGGCCTCAACAGTGTTGATACTGTTCTGTGATGGTGTGAGGAGACGATTAAAATCGGAGAAGAGCATCTACCTTTATGTGCTTGAACCGGAATTCGATGTCCCAATCCATGTATCCACGTACAAAGAAACGAAGATCGCCGAGAACCGGAACCTGAGTTTGAAAGAGGTGAGAAGAAGAGCAAGAAGGGGTGTACAGAAAACTTGCGTAGTTTAGGTCTCTCCATTTTCTGTGCGTCGGTCCCATGGTCGATGCCCGGGTGGTAAAGTAAAAGGGGATAAGGTATCGAATCATGTTTTGCAAAACAACTGATCGCCCAGTGCGACGAGATGCGTCAAGCATGGTGCTCAAGATGAGCGAGAGCTCATGGCGTCCGTAATAGATCTTGACCTCCTTGTGGCGATTGAGATGATTGTCGTGGACCACTGGAGAACGGAAATGAATATCAAGCAAGACATCAGCCTAGAGGAACTCACGTTGGAGAACCTGGGCCTTGATCAAGCGGTACATGTCATGCTTCACCAAAAGCGTCATACCGCAGTTTATACCGCCCTTTTCCGGATCCCGCGCGTACACGACGACCGAATGGATGAATAAACTGGCCCACCACGCAACAGTGCTGGCCTTGATCGGTTTTTTCCGCTTGAAATCGGGGAAGGTGACCTAAAAAGTTGGTATTGAGACACGAGGAAATGCCAATAAACGAGAGAGAAAAACGAACCAGGGAGTACATAAAGTGCTCCCAGTTTTTTTCGACCACACGGAGGTGCCAGTGTTGTTCTCGGGGGAGCGGAGGCGAGAGGTGGTGGTTGAGATAAGCCTCCCAACTGGCGAGGGAACGGTCTCGGTGAGCAATAGTGATAGGGCTCTCGGATGACTGGACGGTTTTGAGCCATTCTTCGGCCTGTTGGTTGAGATACTCGGTCGTCGTCATGTTAGGGTCCGTGATGTGCGCCCTGATACTGGCACCCAGTTGCGCAGTTTTACGCTGTGCGATCTGCTCCACGCGATCGGGGACGCGAGGCGCAATACGGGCTGTGCTGGGTGTAGCTGCTGGGGCAGCTTGAGCAGTGGTATACCGCTGGATGGTGGCCTCGAGGGGACCTCTGTCGCGCATGGTGGATGTCGACCAACAGAAGAAGTGGTGCCAAACACCGAAATTGTGTGACGCGCTAGAGGGCGCTTAAAAGGGAAGGAAGTGCCTTAAAAGGCGCTCGGCACTCCGACCCACGTCCAAGTGCTTCGAGCCAACAGGCAAGGTCTGCAAGGCCTTGGAGCTTGAAAGGCGGCCCAACGCACAGTGACAGGACTTCAAAGCACTTTGCACGTTTGAAGCCGTTCTACCGGGTTCCAAGCCTTGTAAGCAGCGCCTTCCAGCCTACTACGTTTCTCTTCGGCTCAGATGATAACGGCAAATCAGATGTACTTGTAAATACGGTTGCGAGGGATACATGGTACAGGGATTGAAATGTTCATTGATACACTGAGAACAGATATCAGGACATTCCAAGGGATGAATCCTAGCGACTTACCAAGCAACTTGGAGGACGAAGCCAGGCAAACAGACTGCAGAGAGGACGAGTCAGCAAGGTCAATAGAGCTTCCAGAGATAGCTACTCACAGTTGCAGAAAACGAACGATGCATTAGCGAAAACTGCAGCCTACAGTGCGTGATGCGCAGCGGGATCGCGATAACGATGGGGGACTTGCGAGCGCGGGGCAGCGGGGCCGGCAGGGCCGTCTTGAGCGAAGTCTGGGGCCTCTGTTGCCGGCTCGACGCCTGCTCCGAGCCGCACACCACGGATTTGCGGGCGGTGCTGCGCGCGGCACAGTGGCGTTTTGTAAGCCGAGCGGCGGGGATTCGGGATTGCAGTGGCCGGTGTCGCGTGTCGCGCGAGAAAGGGCAGAGGGGCGGCGCACGGCCGCGGGACCCGGATGCGCGGGGGCGTCGGGTGGGAGCATACGCAGCCGAGGCGGGGGACTGAGGCGGCGTTTGACGTAGGTAGGTAGATATGTACGCGATGGAGGTAGGATGCGTAGGTTCTGTACGCGCGGGCAGGAGCGGGGCGGAGTCGGGATAGCACGGTGGTCTTGCGAGGAGTCGGCGGAGGTGAGAGATGGGGTGAGCGGGATGCGGGATGCGGGAGAGTTGCAACTGACGGAGGGCGGGCTCGAGCGCTGCCTGAGGTAGGTAAGTACGCGGATGACATGGAATATGTCGTCGTAGCGTACATACATAGGCGGGACGGAATCAGACGGCTGCTGGGGACTTGCGCCGAGCGGCGGCGGCATCGGGACACGGGGGTGCTGCGTTGTTCTTGCGCAACGCAAGCCGCCTTGAGTGCCCGCCGCCGAAGGCGTGCGGCGGGAATCGAGGTATGTACATGGGGGGTCGAGTCAGGCGCTTGCAAGCGAGGGGGCTGCAGCGGGGCGGTCCTGCGTGCGGAATCAGGGGAGGCGGCAGCGAGACGAGCAGAGGGTGAGGGTGGTGTTCGGCGCCAGACGCAAGAGAAGCAGGGCGATGGCGAGGATGCACGGTAGTTTGCGGGGATGCACGTTGGCGTTTGTCGATGGCCTGTGACGGTTGTGCCAGATTGTGACACGGCGGCCCACATGCAAGCAGCGGTGCTGGATCGCAGCCCTCACCTAGGTCCTAGGGCTCGGGTGGGCTCGCGCCGCTCGCCTGGGCGCCGCTGACACGGCGTGACGGACCAGTCTGGATGGTCGCTGATTGACTATTTGAGTACGCACACTAGACGAGAACGTTTCCTTTCGAAATAGACGGCTGAACCTATTGGTAACAAAATGACCACTTACATAGCATGTGTGGGGTAGTGGTAACCTGGGTCGTTGCCAAAGTGTATTCCTTGAACTCGACCCGCCGGGAGTTCGATTCTCTCCGCACGCATTCTTTTTACGCAGCTGTTCTATTTCTCTAGGCTCGGATGGGCTCGCGCCGCTCGCCTGGGCGCCGCTGACACGGCGGGACGGACCCTGCGGGTCCTCATGGTCGCTGCGCCCTCGCCTAGGCTCGGGTGCCCGCCGCTGATACGGCGGGAGAATCGAACCCCAGGAACAGCTCCCCGCCGGGGGTTCGATTCCCTCCTAATGCATATTTTTGCTCGCTGTTGAATGTTTCGGCATAAGCCGGGGGTTCGATTCCCTCCTAATATTTGCATATACTTACTCCGGAATATTTACGCTCGGCGTCACACATCCTGGCAGGCGCCGCATTGCCGGTGATCGGTGATCGGAATTTTGATCGGATCCATATCGGGTAACTGGTTCGCGACGGCTCGGCTTCCAGACGCGTCGCGTCGCGTCTACGGTCGCGCTCCCCCTTACCTTTGGGCGTTCGAAGGCCGGGGCAGGCCATATAACTAGTGAGAACCAGCGAGGTGGTTAGGGTTAGTAAGTAAGCGTAGGATAGTATATTTGTATGTACAGGGACCTAGATGCAGGCTCGCAGGTAGCCAAACCAATGAACGACGAAACAAAACACGTACTACAGGGGTCGCGAGCGTAATGCGGGAACCCAGCTCAGGTCGATGCGCGGTCTTCCACACGTCGAGCGTGTTCGGCGCGGCACCGATGCGCGCGCCGTTCGCATAGAGCGTGAAGCGGTCGTCCGCGGTGACCACAGCCATCGTGCTTGCGAGCGTCTTCCCTGCGGGCGCGGCGTACGAGAAGCGGAGCGTGACATCGTCCGGAGGCGCCTTCGGCGGCGTCTGCTCCGGCTCACGCGCGTCTCGAGCGCATGGGACCACGATGTGTGCACGTCAGCGCACGACGCGTGCACGGATGTGTATACGCAGGCGCGCAGCTTGGGAGCACATGCGGCGTCTTGGGCAGAGGGCGCCGGCGTGACTGCTCAGCGGTGGGGCGAGGGGACCCGCGTTCCGCTGGCGGACTTAGACCTGCTTGAGGTAAGCCGCCGCCGCCGACGCTAACACAGTGCCTCGAACGCAACACACGGCGCCGCCACTTCACCACCCGGAGCCACGCGCGCACAACGACCCGCGAATTCGCGAGCGGCGCTGCACGCATGGCACGGGGTTCGCGCGGCATCCGTGGGTGTGTGCGTCGAGCGACGCTCGGGCGTGCGTCCGTGCTCGTGCTCGTTCTGAGGCCACTCGCCAGCGGCGTCGCATCCAGGCACGGGGCGGGCGCAGACTTGCGCATGGGAGAGTCGCGCGCGCGACATGCGGCGCTTCGGGCGCTTGAAGGCAATTTGCGCCGGCCTCGGAGACTCGAAGTGGGGGTCTGTAAGTACACCGGCGCCAACACGAGTGTTCTCAGGCCTGGGCACTGAACGCAACGCGCGGCGTTGACCCGAGGTCGGCGATAGCCCGTCGAAGTCGAGCAACAAGGTCGGCGGCGGCCGCGGGGCTCGATGCTGTGGCGCCCTTCGTTTGGTGATGCGCGCGCAACCTACTCCGCCGCCCACGCAGTCCAGCCCCGCGCGCCGCCCGAGCGAGTCTGGCCCTCGCAGCGCCTCCGTCCCGCCGTGTATGTTCGCGGTCCACGCCGCGCCGCTCGATCTGACCTGGGAGATGTTCGCGGGCCCGAGCGCTCTGGTACTCGGTGGCGCGCAGCGAGCGACGCGATCGCGCAGGACAAGCCGCCTGTGCGTGGTATGGGCTGCCCGATGTTTGCATGATGTGCGCTCGCCGCCGCCGCCGCGGGAGTCTCCTTGCGCAAACGCTGCAGAAACAGCGACGGGCGATGTGGTGATGACTTGGAGCTACGCGGCGGAGGTCTTGTTGGGTGCGCGCGTGGGGAGGTAGCGGCGGCGTCGACGGTGGGCAAGGCTGCGCGTGGTGAGCTTGGCTGTCGACCGTGGCAGCGTTGTACGCCGATCGTGCTCTAGCAGCGTCGGGGCGGCGCGGGAGACAGCAGGAGGCGTGGAAGGTGGTTGGCGGAGGCGGAGGGCGGCGGCACTGAGAGCCGCGGGGCTGTGACGCGGGAAGTAGGCGTGGGGACACGTCCTTTCGGTGAAGGTAGCCCCGTACGTGCGCGCGCAGGGTGCTAGCGTCTCGAGCGCGTGGGACGACGCGTGCGCGGAGGTGCCTGCATGAGCAAGAGCCTCACCCAGTGCTCGCGTGCACTGCTGCCCGGGGCACCGCGCGACGCGCGTGTACGGGCGGGAGCGCGCCTCAGGGCAGTGCAGAAGCACGTGTTGGCGCCGGGGGGCGTGTCTGTTTGCGGAGCGGTGTCGTGAATGCGGGATATCCCGCATGCTTGCACTCACATTCGCATTTGCACCAGTACTGGGTATGGGCGGGCGTGTGCGCTGCTACATGAGAGTCGGGTGCTGCGGCTGCTGTGACGCACGAGGCTGGCGGCGTCATGCAGGCATTAGAAGGCTCGACAGCTGCTACCTAGTAGCCAGGGCCGGAGCGGATTAATCTAGAGAAATGTGAGAAGAACTGAGGAACTTACAGTATTTTTCACATCTCATAGCATACGCGCAGCAGTTTTGGAGGACCCAGCAGAGGTTAGTGCCAGCACTATGGCGTACGGCGTTGCGCATCCGGGGAGGTTGACTCGGAGACGCGTCTTGGGTAGTTGATGATGTGGCAGTATTTGGTTGTGATAGGCAACCTCTTCTGTCTTCCCGTCGACCTATCCTCAGTCCTGTGCCATCCACGAAGAATGCCGTCCCACAAAGGACGCGTCATTCGACGGTAGATAGCTCAATCAATGTCCTCAATTTTTTCCAGAGCGGTGAGAGCGTGTCAACGCGTAGAAATATAAAAATCCACCGAGTAAATGATTTTGAAGAAGGTAAGTCGCGTAAGAACTTACGCTCGGGAAATTTACGATCTTTACCGTAAATATCGTAAATCGGCCCCACGTGGGCGGTCTAGGGCCTGCCAGACGCGGTAAATCAATCAGGTCGCTTAACACGCGTACTTTCCGTGACTTACGCGTCTTTTACCGCTATCTGAGTCACTCACCCAACGGAACGCGTTCATTATGCATATATGCATCCGCTGCACACATAATCGCGTACTCGGATGCTGCAATCGCGAGATTCGCACTAAAGTAAACCTTTCACTCAAATCCAATGAATACATATCTCGACGGACACTACACTACATGCACATGCCATGCCATCGCGCGCGAGACCCATAGAACACCAGTTTTGTAAAGCATACCAGGCCGCGACTATAGATGATTGCAGTGGCATAGATGCGCCGCCCGGCCCCGAGAGTGTGCGCCTCGCGCCGCATGAACATCGCGTTCTAGGCGCGCGTGGAGCAGTTGGGTCCGGGGAAAAAGATACCCATGTCCTATGTGAACGACAAAAAGTATATAAAGTTTTGTTTACGAGACTACCCATGTCCGTGGCACTGCGAAAACCCACTTGGTTACCCCTGCGCTTCTCCCTACCGCCAGTGCGCCTGCGCCTGGTTCTGCGACGCCGAACACGCGTGCACGTACGCGGCCTGCGGTGCGCACATCGTCGTGGTACTGCACGCGCTGTGCTTGCCTCTCGCGCATGGACGCGTTGGCCGCGCCAACAACTGTGGGCCCTGCGCCTGCCATGTATGTGGACGGTGCCACCGAAACGGGCTGTTCCGAGCGCTCGTATGCGTGTCCCGCCGCCGCCGCCTCCGTACCCTTTCTTTCCTGTACTTCATTTGCTTACAATTCTAGTCCGTACGCGTCCGAGACGCACGCGCCGCGCGTCCTGTGGCACGGTGGGAGTCGGGCGGGCCCGCGACGTCGTGCAAGACGGCGGCCGCGAATCCACAGATTTTCCCGGGGGACTTACGGGGAATGCACCGCGGATTGCGGCACGGAGTCCGCGCCCGATTCCCAGGACGTCGCGCAAGACTGCGACGGTGAACGCGCGGCGCGAGTCACACAGAGCGGACATTGCGGGGGCGCGACGCGCTTGCGTGAGGCGCTAAACTGGCAAGGCGGGCGGGGTGGTTCAGCGGCGCCCGACGGCGCTGACATGGTAGGCGGACGGACAAGACGTCTGCGTATCCGAGCGGGCGGGATTGCACGGCGGCTGCGGGTCGCACGGGCTGCTCGACTGTGCACGATGCGCTTGCGTGCGGCGGTCATCGCAGGGGCAGCGGACGCGATACGAATGTGCGGCGGGCGGCATGAACGGGGCGGAGCACGACGCCCGAAGTGCAGGCCGAACTTGAGCCGGACGGGTCGTACTCAAGCCCGCGCGCGACGACGGGCGAGCGACACCAACACCCGACGCCCCTGAGCCGCGCGTGCAGACCGGCCTGCGGAGTCGCGGGTGGCGCACGCGCGCGGCGCGGGGGATTTGGAAGCGGAGGGCGCGAGACGCAGGGACGGGGCACAAGTGACCAGGCGTGCCCGGCTGCACAAAAAAGGGCGGAGATTGCTTACGCGCCTGCCGCTCGACACGTCGTCCGCGGCGATGATTGCGCACAGAGTTCCATGACGCTGTCGATGCGCCACGCACGGCGGCGCCTTCTTGTACGCAGGACGAGGCACTGGCGGGTGGTCGCGTATTCATCGGCTATTATTCCAGACGGACGCGCGCGCGACGCTTCCCCAACGGTCCGGTGCATCGTCCGCAAGCCTGACGCACGCGAGGTGCAGCGTGAGCATGCGCACACCTGCGTAGCGCGGGAGCACGCAGCCGCTGAGTGCTGGCAACAAGCGGCGGCCGCGGGTTTTCCCAGTTGTGGGCCCGAGACGCGGCGGATTGGGTGCTTGATTGGTAGAGGCGTAGGCGGGGGACACGGAGCCGCTGCGCTGCGCTCGCGGGTGAACGACTCGGAGGCGCTGCAGCGAGAGCGCTGGCAGGAAATGATCGCGTAGTAGCAAGCGGGCTGTTATCCCAAACGGGAAGCGAGCCGCAGATGAACCGATTCGGCTCACCGCCACCATTTACCGTGATGTGACTATCAA